GGGACTCCCCGCGCCCTGGCGCCGAGCGCCGCCTCCGCGCCCTGGCCCGGGGAGGGGAGGGGAAGCCCGGGGAAGCCCCGCCGCCGCGGCCGCCACCGCCTCCCCTGCGCGCTCCCCGGCTCCCCCGCCAGTGGGCGGCCCCTGCGCTCGGCTCCCGGGGCAGCGCGCTCGCTGGGTCTCCGCCTGCGGCTGCTCTGCGGCTCCGGACTCGGCCTCCGACTCCCGCTGACCGGCCTCGGGCTCCCGGCGCACGCACGCACGTGGACAGGTGGCGGAGACGCGCCGGGGGATTCTCAGGCCCAGGCAACCCCGGCACCCTCTGCTCCTGCGGAGCCCCGCACCCTCCCTCCCGCTTTTTTGCTCTCCCTACCCCTTGCCAACCTGAAATTCTTCCCTTTATTGTCTATAAAGTTGCCCCCGCCCCCTTCCCACCACCCACCCCGAGAGCCCTAGTAGGCTTCGTTTTGCGCTCAGGAACCGCCAGCCAGGCTCCGGAGTCCTGGCACACGGACTGAGGGCAAAGGTGAGCCTGGCTCCTCACCCACCCACCAGCACCAGGCAGCCCCTGGGGTGGGCTTCCTCCGACCCCCACCCTCAGCAGCTTTGGGGCTGCAGTGCTGTGAAAAGCGAAAAGGACAGGCCCTTGGGGGTCAGCCATGAGCCCCTGGGGCAGTAAGACCAGGAGTGTCATCCTTAGGGTTCACAGTCAAAGGCCAGACCTTCACCACTGGCTGCTGGCCTGGGGGTCATGACCTCAAGCCAGAGCCCAGAGGGGATTTGGCTTTGTTTTTCCCATCCCCTGTCAGGACTGCGAGTATTTCCTTTAGCTTTATTAACTTAAGTCAAATGGACATTCAAGATAAAAGCTCACACTAACCATTAGTTTGTCCCTGGGGAGACCAGATCTCGTGGGTTTTAGGAGAGACCCAGCCAGGATTTTATGAGTATGAGAAATGGATTAGAGGGTAGTCCCTGGGAATGAGGAACCATATCTCAATTTTGGACAAAGGGGGAGTAGGTGGAGAGAAGAGCTTTGGAGGAGGGCTTTGGCACCAGCAAAGGACAAACAGACCCTGCCTCCAAGGGGACACGTGACAGACCCGAGATACCTAAGCCCAGACATCTCAGGGTCTAGGGACAGAGAGGCAGACAGAGGAAGAACAATCCTAGCTCTGTGTGGAAGAGGCTTCACATCAAAACCACAGGCAGTGGGGTGCCTGGGTGACTCAGTCAACGGTTAACCATCTGACTCTTGATTTTGGCTCAGGTCATGATCTCACAGTTTTGAGATCGAGCCCCATGCCAGCACAGAGCCTGCCTGAGACATACTCTCTCTCTCTCTCTCTCTCTCTCTCTCTCTCTCTCTCTCTCCATCTATCTCTCTCTCTGTCTCAAAATAAATAAAAATAAATTTTTAAAAAACCCACAGGGGAATCAAATTCCTCTGATTTGCCCATCTCTGTACACCCAATGCCTGGCACACTGTGCTTGATGAGTTTTTGGCAAATTAATGAATGGACTATGTATCTCAGTTGGTATGTGGGGTGTCAGGTGTGGTGGAGAGGGAAGAACTTGGGGGAAAGAGGTATGGTTCTGTCTCCTCTGTGTCTTGGGCCTTGAACACAACTGGATTCACGCAGGTTGGCCAAGTGGTATAGGAGATCCTATAGTCAACCCAATGAATTCTAATGACCCAGATCTGAGACTGGCAGGTGGCCATATTCCAGGAGGGGACACTAACAAGAGCCCATGTTATTAAAATAGCCCTTGTTGGGGCGCCTGGGTGGCTCAGTCGGTTAAGCGTCCGACTTCAGCTTAGGTCACGATCTCACGGTCCGTGAGTTCGAGCCCCGCGTTGGGCTCTGGGCTGATGGCTCAGAGCCTGGAGCCTGCTTCCGATTCTGTGTCTCCCTCTCTCTGCCCCTCCCCCGTTCATGCTCTGTCTCTGTCTCAAAAATAAGTAAACATTAAAAATTTTTTTAAAAAATAAATAAAATAAAAAAATAAAATATCCCTTGTTATAAGCATCAACTGAGTGCAGCCTGTGCAAAGCCGTGTGCTAGGTGTTAGGATTCATAACCTGGATAATTATGGGGAGGATGGGGAGCCAAAGAGTCTTGAAGAAACATCAAGAAGCCATGCAAAGCAGTCTTAGTAAGTCCAAAGTAGTGCTTCAGAAAACTGGATCAGTCAGAGGTCAGAAGTTCGAGTCATTCCTTTGGTCTGGGATGGCCAGGGACTAGCCTTGTAGAGGACAGTTGGTTCTTGTAAGGCAGAGTAGGAAGACACAAAGGGAGGAAATTCTGGGTGAAGGTAAGAGGGTAGATGCAGAAGGTTGGAAGAGGTTTGGAGGGCACAGTCGGTCCACCTTCCTGGAAGAGCAAAACCAAGTGTAGGTTCGAGGCAGAGAACTAGTTCTAATATCCCTGCCCACCAGAGTCTGTTACCAAGATTACAGAATTAGAATCTTTGTGCCACAATGTGTTTATCATTTTTGCTTGCATTAGAGATGCCTTGGGAGGGAGTTTGAAAGGGCATGTGATCTCATTGCCGTAGTCATTAAGAAGCGACTCTGAAACACATCCAAAGAGCTGCCCAGTTCAACTTCCTGTCTGATTGCCTGAATCTATTCTCTTGGTTCTTCCCTTCTCTCTGTTCTGTCTGCACTGTATTGGCTTCAGTCTCAGGTTCCTGGTAGTTGCAAGTTGGCTGCAAGAATCCCAGCTTTGCAGGCTCTGAGTCAAATCTGGCGGGAACGACCTTGATCTTGATCCCAGAGCTCCCAGCCAAAGTGTCATTGAATGTCAGTGGCACTGCCGGACATGAATCCATCACTGTGGCCAGGGAATCCTGATGGACTGACTGTCTCAAGCCTGGGTCACATGCTTGATCCCTAAGCAGGGAATGAAACCTTCACCCAAAGCCCCACAAATAGGGGCTGATACTTTGGAGTAGGGAAATTGTTTGATGTGTAGCAAACAAACAAGGGCCAGGACACCCCCAGGCAGACTGAAGACAACTGGCATGTACCCCACCCCCCACCACCGAATTCTTGTCTACGCCCAAGGTCTTTCACCAGTGAGTGAGTTATGCTGGGCGCTCCCTGGTAAGACAGCACCGCTTTGTCAACACAAATTTGCAAGACTTTAAACAAAGCTGTGATGTCACCCAAGGCTTGCCCTTTGCTATCCAGTCTCTTCCCCTCTTCCTTCTTTACTCCGGTCAGCAAGCCTGTCATCTGCCCTAATGATGTCCCTTTTCATTTACCAGATTTGGCTTCCAGGGAAAGCTCCAGCCTTCTTTACTGTATAAACCTGGATCAGGATATTTTGTGGGCTCTCTCTCACGGAAGAGTTTCTAATTTAAGGGAGGTCACTCTTGAAGGGCAGGCGGGTTCTCTTCCCAGTGAAAGGGGACTGAAGAGGACATTCCTGGTGTCCCAAATCCCACAGAGCAGACAGCCACTTCCACAGGTGTGGAGGTGGTTGGCTCCAGAAGCAGCGCAGCTGTAAACACGTGCCAAATAACAGAGCTCTCCAGAAGTGCCGTATTGCTACCCCAGCAGATAAATGAATTGACGAGGGAGTGAAGAAATAAAAGCAGGGTAGATAAAGCACTCCAGCCAGATCACCCAGGTGTCCAACTCGGCAGTTCCCACTGGGTCTTTGTAAGACTCCTGTGGAATGTGACGCGTTCCCCAGGGAAGGAATCAGGGGTCAGAGCTTCAGCAAGCTCAGAGACTTGAGCAGTCGCTAGAGTCTCACCCAGTCATCAGAAATGACATAAACGTGTCCATCCCTTGTGGAGACATAATGAGCACCATAGCTGTAATGCGCGAGACTGATCTCTGAAAACTCCCATCAGAATGTAAACGCTCCAATGACTGCAGCTTCCCCCAGGGCTTCTGTGGTTGCACACGTTTTCCAAGTGCCACTCTGGGAAAACCTCTCATATTTTATGCCAAGCTTATGAGCATGCCAAGAAAGTCCCCGTCATCCCTCCATAATCATGCCTCTGCTGTTGGATATTTTTTTGATCCTCAGACAGCATTGTACAGTATGGTGATCCCATATTGACCAGACTTTCAGCTATTTCCGAAAACCAAAGCCACCTTTGGAGAGCGGAACTTTGCAACGATTTCTTATAATCTCATTTCCAAAAGTTACACGTTGTATCTCAATGACACCCATCTAAGTGCTCTAAGAGCGTCACCTGGCAACAGGCAGCCAGCATGGTGACCCTTAACCTCCGAGACCCACACATTCAGGCTTTCCACCATGATTGCCTGGTACAAACTTGCTGATGTGCCTAAAACACCAAAATCCAAGAGAAATTTCAAGAGAGGTCATCAAGTTCAGCCTTGTCCATGAATGTCTTCCTAAATAGTTAATAAGTATCTGTCTTCTTGAACACCTCCAGGGATGTGGAAGTCACTGCTCATTCCATTTTTGGAGAGATTTGTTGTTGTTGTTGTTGTTGTTGTTGTTGTTGTTTAAGGAGAAACAGGTTTGTCTGTAGCCTATATCCCTAGGTCCAAGTTGTGTTTTATGGGCCACAGAGTATATTTAATGCCTATTCTTCTACATTATAACAGTCCTTTAATTATGCTGTGACTGGAAAGAAATGGAGACATGGAGACGGAGTGGGATGAGGGAGGGAAAGAGAGAGACAGAGAGAGAAGCTTCTCTTTTCCCAACTAAGCATTCTCGGTTCTTTCACCTTTTCAAGTTGTAGTATTTATAAGACCTTTGAGGATATATCACTATAGATAACACACTGAAGTACATTAAGCCAAATTCTACCTAATAAAAAACAACTTTCCTGATTCTGGGAAACGTATAAACTACATTGAACATGATTTAACCCCTTCATGTCTTTAGACTAGCTGTTACTCCATCCAAGGAGGAAAACGTATGAATTTATGACATTTTCAGGAAAATAAAAATGTTCTTTCACTTCTTAGAAGAGGATGTAAGCTAGGAACTTTCTTTTCCCTGCAGGACCTTGTCTATTATGTTCAAATTCATCATGTGAAAAGTCAGAATATCGCTACCTTTACTTCATCCAAAGAGAAATCTTTGTGCGGGGGCCACCAGCAGGATTCTCACTGGCGTAAATGCTGTGGCACAAGTGAGAATCCCGGAATATTAGTGCAAGAAAACAAATTGAAGATGAAGAAACCTATGTACTCAGTGCATAGCTGCTTTTTCTCTCTTGCTCATCAGAAGTTCAGGGCCTTGCCAAGACCTCAGGAGTCAGGGGCAGGGCCAGGGGCAGAACTCAAGTCCCTCACTCACAGTCCTGTGCCCTTCTGATGACACCTGCCTGCATCCTGGATGAAATCATATTGTGGTTTTGATTTCCGGTTTTTTGATGGCTCATGATGTTGAACATCTCTTCGTGTATGTCTGGGCCATTCTGCCACCTTCTTTTGTAAAGTATCTATGCATGTCTGTTGCCTATTTTTAAACTTGGGTTCTTCCTTTTGATTATTGATTTGAAGCAATTTTTAATATAGGCTGAATATTAGTCCCTCGTTAGTTATACCTGTTACAAGTATCTTCTCTCCATCTGTGCCTAAACTGTGCATTTTCTTAGCAGTACCTTTCGAAGACTG